TGTATAATTAAAGCATTGTTAAATATTACATTACCAGATTAGTCCCCCGTCAACCGCCGGGACCTTCCTTTCCTGCGCAAGCTTTCTATCCTCCGCTATGGTCCCTTCCTCCTGTGACACCAACACCTCCTGGAAGTGACGCGTATGCAACACAATGGTGTTTCATACAGTAGAAGGGACACAATCATGATATGACGGTAGATTTTTCGCTTCCCTTCCTCATCCTCCCTTCCTCTCTCCACTGCCCTCCAGCTGCCACTGCAGCACCATGTGGAATGAACGGAAGTGTGCTAAGCAGGTGTTTATATAGCCCTAAGAGTGTTATCACAACTATCCTGCTACAAAACATTGATATCTCAAATCCTGTAAGCTACCCGATTTGTTAGCGGTTTGTTTATCCCATGAGCTTCCTTCTCACTCACTTCATTTTGCGGACGGACACACATACATACATACACACACACACACACACACACACACACACACACATACAGATACACAAACCGACACACAAAGTTAGCGCTTTATAATATAGTAGGATATCGGTTGAGTTGGGTGACGGTCACGGACACCTGGCATGCACTTGATAGAAACTCTATGGATAAGCTGCTTCCAACATACATCGCTGGAGCTATCAGCAAAGCATGCTGGCAACAGCTTATCCACGCACTTCTATTAAGTGCACGTCATTTCCGGTGACACACCCATGGTGCATTGTACGTACTAGCACTCTTCTTTACTACAAATACATCAGCCGTACATCAGTATCGAACATACGAGGCGCTGGCCTCATAAGTGGAAGTGGCTGGAGCGGGAAGACAGGGTTCGTCGTATTTCGTAAATGGATGATTCTTGCAGCTACCGTGGGACAGCGCTGGTTGTGAAATGAAGTCCAAATGTCGAACGACTTGTATTTGTTAGAGAAATTTTCGCTGTCCTAGTTCTCGATCGCATGTCATTCTGTTGTGCTAGCTCTAAAAACCCGCTTGGAGAAACTTCAGATCACCATTTGATATGAAATGTATTTGGGCGTTGATTTCACGTTTAGTAGTTGTCCGGAGGTTCTAATCTGTAAATCGTTCCTACGGTCACGTAACTTCCCGAATCTTTTCGCGTTGTAGGCAGAACCAAGTCAGAAAGAAGGCAACGAACTAGCAAGAAGGTTCAGAGGGCGCATTTATAGTCGGTCGTCCGATCATAACGAACATAACAATCGCACAGCTTCACATACCATCGATACGTCCTTTCTTCGGCTCCCCCACTTTCTTCACGATTTGGGGCGCGGCCGCGGCGAGCGCGGACGAGTCGATAGTGCCCGCGAACTGTGGTGGTGATGCGTTTTCAAATTTACCCACACAGTTCGCGGGCACTATCGACTCGGCCGCGCTCGCCGCGGCCGCGCCCCAAATCGTGAAGAAAAGTGGAGCCAGCCGTTTGATGTCATTCAATGGATGCGATCGTACATCTTACGATCGCCGACCACTACTAATGTGCCCTTAGTAATTGACTTATAGAAAGAACATGTACGGCAATATGAGACCAACTCATGGGTTAGGACGCAGCTGTCTTCCAGACTTATTTCGTTTTCTTCTGCGAATAAGAGGAATTGGTTTGTTTCATCTTCACCTGCGTATGCCGTGCACCTTTACTAATCCCATCACCAACTAGCTGCATATGCTTATTTACTACCTTCACTGGTGTTGCTTATAGCCTTTTTTGGGTTATGTTTGATCTCTACCCTGCAAGGGTCATGACATTTTCGATTACTTGAACGAAGCAGATGAGTTCGGATCAATGAGTTTTCATAACGGCTCCCCCACTTTCTTCACGATTTGGGGCGCGGCCGCGGCAAACCCGGCCGAGTCGATAGTGCCCGCGAACTGTGTGGGTAAATTTGAAAACGCATCACCACCACAGTTCGCGGGCACTATCGACTCGTCCGCGCTCGCCGCGGCCGCGCCCCAAATCGTGAAGAAAGTGGGGGAGCCCTTCAAACAGAAGCGATATTGAGAGAAATGATTTATTGCATTCGTGTCTGTTTTTGCCACTGCTCTCCATTACATTTCCATCAAGTTATCCTAATGCATGCAGTTGTTCGATTTCGCAACCATTAATTCGGAGGACGTCGCGCCATGCTCAATTATGTATCACACACTTGCTCATGCTGAGCTGCACCATTCGCTGACAATCATCTAACGCTTTCTCTTAATGTTGCGATCTATCGAAGTTGTGTCTTAATTTGTTGTCCTTGCTCATGATTCCAATGTTGATTGAACGGGTTTGCCCAAATTAATCTGCAAATTTGACCCTTTCCACAAGTTGCAGTTTTTTACTTGGATTATTTGGCACTATTGCACTATTACAACCTCCAGTGTGGGCCAAGATAATTTTCGCTGAAACTTCTGCTATGGGGGTTATCGAGGGTCCTGATCACGAATATGACATCCATTTTTGGCGCTGGCGCCAAATTGGCGCCACGACTGATTATCACCAAATTCGCTGTAAACTTCTGTATAGGGGTTATTTGGGGCCCTGATCACGAATATGACACTCGTTTTTGACATTCGTGCTGTTAACGCATATTTTCTGCTTTTCTAAGCTTTCTCAGATGTCGGTCAGACTCTGCGATTGCATCGCGCGATGCAGTCGCTCTTGCAATGTGCACAAGCGACGGGCGATTGGCCCCGCCCACATCGATGCAGTCGACATCGGTATCGATCGCTTGCACTTTTGGCAGAGCGATTGCATCGCGCGATGCATTCGCAGAATCTGACCGACATCTCACCTATAGCGCCTAAGACTAAGCATAGGGGAGGGGGAGGGGAGTGAAACTCCGGAGTGGGTAAACCACGCACCGTGTGGCAAAAGTTGGAGTGTGTTAGACCACAGGGGAGTGGCCTACTCACTTTGGAGCCCTCCACTATTCAAAGGCTTAGTCCTGATTGCGATCTAATTAGTGCGAGGGCGCAGACGAGCAGGAAATAGGCGCCGAATAGCGCCAACAACAAAAACGAATGTCATATTCGTAATCAGGACCCCAAATAACCCCTATACAGAAGTTTACAGCGAATTTAGTGGGAATCAGTGTGGCGCCACTGGCGCCAAATGGCGCCAGCGCCAAAAATGAATATCATATTCGTGATCAGGACCCTCGATAACCCCCATAGCCGAAGTTTCAGCGAAAATTATTTTTTGACCCATCTCACCCCTACTGGGGTTGTAATAGTGCAATAGTGCCGATTATTTTTCGTTGCTTACCAGCTTCCTCAATGTATTCCTTTTCTCTACTCGAGATTGGAAGTGTGTTTCACTGTAGGCCCTTTATTTTGCTGCAGAAAGTGTGTATGTTCTCTTTTTGTACAGGTATCGTGTTGGTCCTAACGGACTTTTGTGAATCAAAATCATTGATGCACTGTGAGAGAGTGATCGTGTGGGTGATGATATGCAGTTTCCAATAGTTGATGGAATGGTTCTTGAGACAGACCCCATTCTCTACATTTCTTTACCTATTACTTAAATTTCTTTACCCCTCTGCATTCCGAAAGGAACCATACAATACTAAAGAAATTATTCATAAGTTCGGAGCCCACCTCTGCATGATTTCCTTTGTGGTACTAAATATTACGCTTTCTTTCATGTCAGTGAAGAATGATGTAGCGCTCGTTTACGAAATCGCTTCGACCACCTTCAAGTAGAGGTGCCTTTCTCTTCTATTTCACAATTTAGGTAATTAATTCACTGTGATTCATCGCAAGTGAATTAAAATCCACTGGATCATCTAAAAAAAAAAACTTGAGTGGTATGTGTAATTTTTATGCGAATGGTGCAAGGTCCTGAGAAGGAGAGCAGGTTCAGCGGTGCATAATTCGACCGTATCACCTAAGACGGTGGTAGGAAACTGCTCGATGTAAGAGAAGTACGTAGCTTCTAGAGGAAGGAAGAATGGGCGCAAATCGTTATTTTTATGGTAGGAATTGAAATGTTGGTTTCAGCTGACGTCGTCTTAGAGCGGGCTTGACTTTAATTTTTTCCTTTCACGTTGATGTTTTTTTTTTCTTGTCTTACTGCGAGTCACAGTCTCTAATGATTCGTCATTGCTGTGCCTTGTCCAATCGATTTTGTTTCAATATGAATCATTCCGTCCAATTCGTTGGAATTCAAAGCAAGACTATAGCGACCTATATCTAAGGTTCTGACTTTTTTCACACCTACATTCGCTACGATTTCGTGCTGTCACCTATTGAAGAGACGCTCTGTTTCCGAGCAGAGCAGGGGTTTGACTTTAATCTACGAGAAATACGCTACATTCTGGTCTCAGGGCTTTTGTTGATTTTTTTCTAATATATTTCAATTTTCTTGATACGTTTTTCTGTCCTGTGCCCCTGGTCTGTGTGCTGCTGGCTTCTCGATTATAGATTACACTTTGTTTCTTGAGTGCGTATCTACTTGAGTATATTGTTCCTCCAGAGCGTTTACCTCCCTTATTCATATTTTCTTGCGTCGAGCCCTCTACCACAAAGTGTTTGGTTCGGTTTTTTATTCGTTAGTTTCAGGATGTCAACTTGTTACCAGTCTTCTATACCGACTACTGTTCCGCATTCTTATACAGGTATGGTCACGGAATTTCGTTGTATCAATGTTTTACGAGTTTTTTCCCATAAAAATATTATGTATTTGTATTCTTATAAGCACTACCTTAATGGTTAAGTGAGCACATAAATCACACACGTATCTTTTGTTTTTCCTGATTGTATTCTTATTTCTGTCCCTGAACCAGTCCTGCTTACATTGTTGTAATTGCCGTAAATATTATACATGAAATATTAAATACTCATCATGTTGGAAAGCTTCTTCCGAACCAGGGAATAGGCTTTAATTCTTCATAAATCTTGCACTGCACATAGAGGGATAGTGATTGAGTTCCTATATGTGATGCAAGGCCTAGGTAGCGTCCTTTAAAGAGACTACATTGACGTCAGGAGGGGTGAGAGAGGCTTCCCAGCTTCCATATTTCGGCTCGCATCGGACTTTTGCGCTCATTTCTGTCGAATACCTCTCCCACCCGATCTTAGAATGCATTCGTTCCCTACTTGGCATCATACTTCGGTCCTCTCGAAACAAAGCGTTATTTGACCATCAGAGGGGTGACAGCCACTTTTAGATCCGACTTTCTACAATATTTTTGGAACAAAGGTAGCTTTCAGTGAGGCTCTTTCCCTCTCTGGTTGCCCCACATCGCATCACATGCTCTATCTCCTGGGGAGAAGGATTAAGAAAGAAGGGAAACTCATATGCTTTCAGACGGCGAGCGGAAGAAGAGGCGGCCGCCCAATACTGGATCGAAGTTACTGGAAAGGCAGGAGAACGAAATGCTATTTTCAATAATTGGACCCGATAATGTGTCCCTGTCTGCTGCCGTAGTTGAATTACTTTTCGTTGAAAGCAGGCAGTGGAAGCTCACGTTTCGGGGTGTTATATCGTTGGTAAAGGTAATTCAATGTTTGCCTTTTTCACTGAAGTGATGGCATGTCCTCTCCGTTTTAACGCTGGAATGATTTCAGGACTACCAAAACCGAGCATACTTCTTGCGTCTGTACGATATCCTGAGCGGTCGAAAGCTGTGGGATTTCAGATTGTACGTTTTTCAAGCATTTTTTGAGCTGATTAGGAGTACGTCATTTTTGCTTGTATCCGGCCAGGCTCCCAGACAATACCTAACCATTTGGGCGCGGCCGCGGCGAACGCGGCCGAGTTGATAGGTGCCCGCGAACTCAGCACAGCACAGTTCGCGGGCACCTCGAGTGCGTTTTCAACGGTTCGCGGGCACAATCGACTCGGCCGGCGCCGCGGCCGCGCCCAAATGGTTAGGTATTGTCTGGGAGCCATCCGGCCAAGATATATTTAGTAAGAGGAAATTAATGCTATAATGCTTGGAATTTTGTTTATTCACATTTTGAGGCAAAGCACAAGTCTATTAATCAGTTCATTGTTCCATTTTCTTCTCCGATAAGGTTGGTGCTGATTTGCGAGAGATGGAGAGTTTGGCTCTAGGGTATTCTGCATTCATCGACCATGCATGCACGGCACAGCGCCTGAAACAGTGTTGCTTTCGGACCTTGAACTTTTCTTGAATGAGATGATGAGACGTGGTATTAACTCGTAAGCAGTATAAGTATGGAAGGATGATGAACACTGCTTTTGGTTTTGGTTTTTGAACTGCTTTCTTCACCGGATTTTGCGACGTGAACGTTATCTTAAGGATGCTGCGTTGCTTGGTTCATATTGTTAAATCTTTATTTGTAGGTTATTTTTATTTTCAACGTCATTTATTGCTTAATGAACGCCAGTGATATAGCTTGGCTAATCACTTCCAGTCTTTTAGCAAGGGATATAAAACACTTTAACCCTTTCGGCCTCTGGCGGTGGCAATTGCCACCACCAAATTCAAATGTTTGCATTACCGCTGAAACAGCATGGTTTTGCTAATAGTATTACAAGTATTTGTGTACAAGTGCAACAATGAATCGGCGCTGGTCCCCGCAACCGGCCAAGTAAGTGTCACTTTTTCTTAAAATACTTGAAGTAGATCCATTCTTTAATCAAAATTATGGGTTATAATGTTGTGCAAGATTATAAACTTTTTCGGCATAACTATGAAATTTGGAATTGTTTCGACATAAGCTCAAAAACTAAGAAGGTGGGCCAATTTTCAAAGCTTCCTAGTTTCTTTGTTTGTGATCGAATAGCTTCCAAATTTCGCCATAATGATACTTATATGCTCACAAGTAATAAACAATAGCTAGAAGAAAAATTTCTCCACGGAAAAAATTCAGGGCCGAAAGGGTTAAGGCTGGTGTCAGAGTCCGCGACCCGTCGCAGGTTTCGCTGATTTTCGCGATTTGCGCGATTCGCGCGATTCACGCGACGGGTCACGGAAATCACAAGTGCCCGATCAATACTGCAAGGTGTTCTCCAATCCCGCCGCCACTTCTGCTTGATAGTGATGGCTGAATGACGACTGCTCATGATTCCACTTGTTTCATATTCAGTGTTTCAAATGTTCAAATGGGGCACTTGCAATTTTTGCGATCCGTCGCAGGTTTCGCGCAAATCGCGAAAATCAGCGAAACCTGCGACGGATCACGGACTCTTAAACCAGCCTAATAGGTCTCGTGTCCCTTATCACTAGTTATGACCTTTTCCTATAATGCTTAGCTGGTGCATTCGTCACCGTTTGTGTCGAGAAATGCCCCATTCTTTTTGGTTAAGCAAAATCAACACTCTAACTGAAATCCAGGCCGGTGGTTTTGATAGGAGTCACATCGAATCCAACAGGACAATCTTCAGTGGAGTCATAGCAAGATCTGTACTGCAAGCTTTGAATCACTAGATCTGCTAAAGCCACTCGTTTGATGACATTGTTAGATTACTGATGCCTGCTACTTTAGCCTCATGTTATCTAGCCACAAGGCACCTCATGGATATGGGAAGGTATGCGTTCATTCGTAAACCGACGGGCCATTTGGGGAACGGGACGCCGCGCGCGACCTCATTAGTTCGCGATTGAATTGTCCGGCTCCCTTTATTCTCATCTCATTTCCTCAAATTCCTCTTTGCTAGGATGATGTAAAAGCAGACGTTCATGGCTTGAGCTTGAATTAAGAGTCTGAATTTTGAATTCGTGAAAAGGAGTCATTCTTGGTACAGTTTCTCTATGATCGAATAGGAGGATGTTTTGAGAATGTTGGAGACAACTCACCGTTAGCTCTCCCGGTTGCGCATATTTTGGCTATCGAAGATATAAAAATGGAAAGATCTAAATCACTGGTGTTAGGTCTTGAAGGGGTGGGAAATAGGCTTTGTGTTTTTGTTTTCGTCCATAAACATCCGAATGCTTGATTGGCGGCATTGAAAATAGAAAAGTAGAGCTCCAACGTCGTACTGCTGCAGATTCATCCAAAAGTCAATATAGATTCCAGATTGCAGCTTTTTAGTGCAAATTACAAGCGCCATCTCAATATCTGTGTCACGATAAAGAAATCTCGATTGCAAAATATGATAAGCATTTTTTAGGGAGTGAGTGGCTAGCACCATGAAATACCAACATACTGTACTTCTTTATTGTCTCAGGCATTTATTAAGTTTTTTCTTCTCATATAACTCATCAGAGCGCTTCTACTCTTGTCATTCCTTCGTCCAACTGTGTTGCTACTTATTTACTTTCATGTCCACTTACAGATTTTGATACGTTCACCACCCACCTGATGAGACCACACTAACTCTAGGGATGCCCGTTGATTCCTTGTACAGATAGTGGTCCATCTCAAGCTCCCTTAGTGGAACTCGGGACGTCGTTTGCTTCTCTGGAATTTCACCATGTTTCGTACCTCCCAAGTATTCTTGCGTTTCCGATTCCTGCTTTCCAGTTCTGATGAAGGCTTCTGCTCTGCATCTAAATCCCTAGGTACAACCAAAACAGCAGCTTTCAATATCCTTTCTCGAACACCAGTGGTGCGAGTGGTGTCTAACCATAAGTGTTGGATCATCAGGTAGTTGTCAACCAGCTTTGTTGCGGTTTTGACGGCATCACAAGTGTGGTAGAACTCTGGAGTGTCATCTTATTTCTATCGTCGTTTTACCTAAGTCTTTGTTATTGTATGAAAAAAAAACTAGTTTTCTCTACCAGGCCATAAACCTTCCAGCTTAACCGTGACTGGTGCACTGCAATTTCCATGTGTTTCGGACAACTACTCTTCAAAGGGGTGTGTTTAGCTTGTGGAAGACACTTTCAACAAGGAGATGTCAATGCCAAATCTTTATCTTTACAGAGTACCATATCCAACTAAAGGCGTGCACTTTATGTCAATTTTTTTTCTTTTTTTTGAGAACATCTCGCCAAAAACCCGTCGCTGTCAGCATTTGCATAATACGCTGGTTAATCTTGTTGGTGGCATATGCTCTCGTCTCTTTTCAGTGTCGCTTTCAATTGACAGCTCATTTCTAAGTGAAGTCCTCTCCCGAAAAATGTACGCTTTCGTTGTAATCTGGCGCTTAAAATCTTCAAGCGAGTGCTCGGTTCTTATTTCGCTCCACTTCGTTGGCGTTTTGTAGTGTCACATGTACTTCCATGGTAGTCACGAGAGTGAAAAGTGAGCTATGCGAAAATCACTTAGTCTGCCAGTATGACTGGAAAGAATTGATGTTACAATAGTGCTCAAGTTGGTATCTAGCATAACTCTCCAAAACTTATTGTTCACAAATAAATTACAGGACTCGGTGATGTTATTGATTTCCTACAGTAGTTTTTTTTTCGAAATGACGCAGTAAATTCTGCTTTGCAATATCATAAATTACAGCAGTGTTGAAAGCTTCTTAATTTGCGTGCAGTTCTACCTAATTCCTACCGCCTGTTTTAACGGTGAAGTTGTTCTTCCCATGAGGAATTTCTCGAATTTCAGCATTTCGAATTTTCATTTGAATTTAGTTTCTGACATTTATATGCGCAAATATGAAGGGCTATCGCAACTGTGAAAATATTCTTATCTTCTTTACATTCACCTTTTAATGTCTGCAGCATTGCCACAATCGCTACCACGAGTTCGAAGTTGACTTCAATTTCATCTTAGAAAAGTGTCAGGCAAGAAGCTATACCTACAGGCACGTTTCGGTTGTTGTGATAACGCCTAGGATCACACAGGGCGAATTCTAGAATTATTTCTGCTGCTGTCTAATAAAAGGGACCTTTTAAGAAATTCAAAATAGGAAGGAGGGCCCTCTACGGCTCTGTTTAGAGCTTTGCTTCCTATGCGCAGTTAAGAGAGTAGTGGTGATCCAGCGCAATATTGGATTTGGAAACTGTGGATATGTCGATGGAAAATTTTTATCAGTGCACGTGATAAATTTCCTAGGCAAACAATTTGGCGCACGTTGTAAGATAAGTGTGTGAAGTACACGGCCTTTATCGGAGCGCGAAATTTCAAGCGTCATAGGAAAGAGATCAAAGGCTGGCTTGGTCGAACTGCTTTTCTTCCGCTGTCTTTATTACGTTGCGGTGTTAGAGCGTCATTCACTCCTTTGTGCACAGGCTTATCTCATCTTTGTGTACGAAAATCACATCTTGCTAGCTAGAAAAAATCTGATTGTCGTATGGACTAAATACTTTGGGATCCACACTTCGATTGCATTGTTTTATAATTTTGACTTATTTCAAGTTATTCACTATGAAGTCTTTTGAGGGTTGTTGCATTCGGAGGTAGCGATTATAGACTCCTTTTGTCAGGTTACTGTAAGTCGTCGGGTTCCTATTATCACCAAAAACACGTCATTGTGCAAAGGAAACCACAGAGATGGGCTGACTAACGTTTGAACTGCCACCGGAGGGGCAGTATATAACAACGGAATTTCATAGATAATGGCTTCAGCTCCTAATCTATCATTCGGCACTCTAACTTTTGAAACTGGCCATACACCTTACTTTGAGAAAAAAATTTGATTCTTTTCATCAACTGATTTTTTGGAGGGGTGGTGCCCGACGCACAGTGGCCCGTGTCTCTGGTATTTTACCGATCATTAGAATGGGTTGTCGTTGGGAAGGCTCATCAAACGGACAGAGCGTGCAAGGGAACGCAGAGCTCTCCGGCCAGCTATCTTAGCCTGTGTGGTGTATTAGGTTGTCTCATAAGTAGTGTCGCTTTTTTCAAACAAAAAGTTTTCTCGTAAATCCTTAGGCTTTCACCATATTATATACCATTCGAAAGAGAATCGTCTGCTCTACAAGATGCTCCGTTCCCTTCCACCTCTGTTCCAGGGTTTTCAAATTTTAGGCCTGCGAAATGGGAGGTCCAGCCGACAAAAATTGACCAAACCGACAACTAGCTCTAACTTTATTTTCCCTGGGGAGAAATCAATCAATGATGTACCTCTACTTACCCATGACCTCTTCTAAACATTCCACTCTTAGGTTGCCGAAAAAGCTTTGCCGTGTTTCTTTTCGAATTGGCTGACCGATAAGCCATAGCAATTTTCAAATTAAAATTGTTCCTCGTAAACGCCATTGTTTCATATCAAGTGGTGTTCCTTTTAGGAGCACTTCTTCTGCTCATCCCTGATTTGTTTTATTCTTATGTTTGTTGGGAATTAGTTCGAATTTTAGGTGTTTAGCAATAAGGTGTTTTATCCGCGAAAGTGACCGCATTTCTTTGAAAAAAATTATTCCTGAGAAGATGAGAAAATCAACCAGGCGTACATTCCTAACTTAGTCATGACTTGTTCTTTGAATTCTACTAGTTTTTCAATGTCTCGGC